TGGAAATATCCAATTAATTTGATTACCTAAATACGCTTACATTTTTTTCCTGAAAATCTTTGTTCTATATCAATGTCTTTTAAGTGAAGAGAAAATTTAATTTTCTTTCATGGCAATTTTGAAAATCCAGTTATTGTCGCTTCAAAATCAGCAACACTGTACTCGAAAAGCTGAAATAACTTTCAGCAAGAAATGTGCTGATAGAAGACAATTGTTTTTCAAGCATACCATTATCTGTTCCTCAGGTGGCACATAGTGAAGATTTATCAAACCTTAAATTACCATCTATAAAATAAGCTTCATAAGTGAAAATCTGAGACTTTGATGAAGGCAATGATGTTTCGTCTGGTGAAACAGTGTTAAGAAAATCTCCACTTTATCCTAATCATCAAGGAACTGTTGATGACTGACCATATTCAAAGTAAAGCAAATAGGCAGCAGAGAGTTTGCATAAATGGGGAGAAATCAGAGTGGGGAAGCGTTACGAGCGGTGTTCCACAGGGGTCAGTGTTGGGCCCCCTGCTGTTCACAATCTACATAAACGACATAGATGAGGGCATAAAGAGCGACATCGGCAAGTTTGCCGATGACACCAAAATAGGCCGTCGAATTCATTCTGACGAGGACATTCGAGCACTCCAGGAAGATTTGAATAGACTGATGCAGTGGTCGGAGAAGTGGCAGATGCAGTTTAATATAGACAAATGCAAAGTTCTAAATGTTGGACAGGACAATAACCATGCCACATATAAACTAAATAATGTAGATCTTAATATTACGGATTGCGAAAAAGATTTAGGAGTTCTGGTTAGCAGTAATCTGAAACCAAGACAACAGTGCATAAGTGTTCGCAATAAAGCTAATAGAATCCTTGGCTTCATATCAAGAAGCATAAATAATAGGAGTCCTCAGGTTGTTCTTCAACTCTATACATCCTTGGTTAGGCCTCATTTAGATTATGCTGCACAGTTTTGGTCACCGTATTACAGAATGGATATAAATTCTCTGGAAAATGTACAAAGGAGGATGACAAAGATGATCCCATGTATCAGAAACCTTCCCTATGAGGATAGACTAAGGGCCCTGAAACTGCACTCTCTGGAAAGACGTAGAATTATGGGGGATATGATTGAGGTGTATAAGTGGAAGACAGGAATAAATAAAGGGGATGTAAATAGTGTGCTGAAAATATCTAGCCTAGACAGGACTCGCAGCAATGGTTTTAAGTTGGAAAAATTCAGATTCAGGAAGGATATAGGAAAGTACTGGTTTGGTAATAGAGTTGTGGATGAGTGGAACAAACTCCCAAGTACCGTTATAGAGGCCAGAACGTTGTGTAGCTTTAAAAATAGGTTGGATAAATACATGAGTAGATGTGGGTGGGTGTGAGTTAGACCTGATAGCTTGTGCTAACAGGTCGGTTGCCGTGTTCCTCCCTTAAGTCAATGTGACCTGACCTGTTAGGTTGGGTGCTTTGGCTTAAGCCGGTAGGAGACTTGGACCTGCCTCGCATGGGCCAGTAGGCCTTCTGCAGTGTTCCTTCGTTCTTATGTTCTTATGTTCTTATGTCTCATTTCAAGGAGTGAAGTTTATTAAAAAAATCATGAAATTTTAGAAACTTTCAATATTTTTGGGCAATTTTCTGTGTTAGTGCTTTGATATAAATTTCTTTTTGACGGTGTGAGTTGAGAACATCACTCATGTTTGGCGTCTGATCATTAAAACCTCAACATAATATCTAAAAGATAATTACCTCAAAAGTGCAAAAAATCTTCCGTAGATTTCTCTAGGTCACACAGGTAATATAAAGATGATAGCGAAAATTTTAAGTTTTACTGATCAAGATCAATTGAAAAATACTCCTGTGTTAGGTATGTGGAGACGTCTTGATTCCTGCCTCCACTCTAATGTGGTTTAATTAAGATTCCTACCTCCATTCTAATGTGGTTTAACTAAGACTCCTACCTCCACTCTAATGTGGTTTAATTAAGATTCCTACCTCCATTCTAATGTGGTTTAACTAAGACTCCTACCTCCATTCTAATGTGGTTTAATTAAGATTCCTACCTCCATTCTAATGTGGTTTAACTAAGACTCCTACCTCCATTCTAATGTGGTTTAATTAAGATTCCTACCTCCATTCTAATGTGGTTTAACTAAGACTCCTACCTCCATTCTAATGTGGTTTAATTAAGATTCCTACCTCCATTCTAATGTGGTTTAACTAAGACTCCTACCTCCATTCTAATGTGGTTTAATTAAGATTCCTACCTCCATTCTAATGTGGTTTAACTAAGACTTCTACCTCCATTCTAATGTGGTTTAATTAAGATTCCTACCTCCATTCTAATGTGGTTTAACTAAGACTCCTACCTCCATTCTAATGTGGTTTAGCTAGATTCCTACCTCCATTCTAATGTGGTTTAACTAAGACTCCTACCTCCATTCTAATGTGGTTTAGCTAGATTCCTACCTCCATTCTAATGTGGTTAACTAAGATTCCTGCCTCCACTCTAATGTGGTTTAACTAAGATTCCTACCTCCATTCTAATGTGGTTTAACTAAGACTCCTACCTCCATTCTAATGTGGTTTAGCTAGATTCCTACCTCCATTCTAATGTGGTTTAACTAAGATTCATGCCTCCACTCTAATGTGGTTTAACTAAGATTCCTACCTCCATTCTAATGTGGTTTAACTAAGATTCATGCCTCCACTCTAATGTGGTTTAACAAAGATTCCTACCTCCATTCTAATGTGGTTTATATAAGATTCCTGCCTCCACTCTAATTGGATTTAACTAAGATTCCTGCCTCCACTCTAATGTGGTTTAGCTAAGATTCCTGCCTCCACTCTATTGCGGTTTAACTAAGATTCCTGCCTCCACTCTAATGTGGTTTAACTAAGATTCATGCCTCCACTCTAATGTGGTTTAACTAAGATTCCTGCCTCCACTCTAATGTGATTTAACTAAGATTCCTGCCTCCACTCTAATCTGGTTTAACTAAGATTCCTACCTCCACTCTAATGTGGTTTAACTAAGATTCCTGCCTCTACTCTAATGTGGTTTAACTAAGATTCCTACCTCCACTCGAATGTGGTTTAACTAAGATTCCTACCTCCACTCTAATGTGGTTTAACTAAGATTCCTGCCTCCACTCTAATGTGGTTTAACTAAGATTCATGACTCCACTCTAATATGGTTTAACTAAGATTCCTGCCTCCACTCTAATGTGGTTTAGCTAAGATTCCTACCTCCAGTCTAATGTGGCTTAACTAAGATTCCTGCCTACACCCTACTGTAGTATAACTAAGATTCCTGCCTCCACTCTAATGTGGTTTAACTAAGATTCCTGCCTCCACTCTAATGTGGTTTAACTAAGATTCCTACCTCCACTCGAATGTGGTTTAACTAAGATTCCTACCTCCACTCTAATGTGGTTTAACTAAGATTCCTGCCTCCACTCTAATGTGGTTTAACTAAGATTCATGACTCCACTCTAATATGGTTTAACTAAGATTCCTGCCTCCACTCTAATGTGGTTTAGCTAAGATTCCTACCTCCAGTCTAATGTGGCTTAACTAAGATTCCTGCCTCCACCCTACTGTAGTATAACTAAGATTCCTGCCTCCACTCTAATGTGGTTTAACTAAGATTCTTTCATCCACTCTAATGTGGCTTAACTAAGATTCCTGCCTCCACTCTAATGTGGTTTAACTAAGATTCCTGCCTCCACCCTACTGTAGTATAACTAAGATTCCTGCCTCCACTCTAATGTGGTTTAACTAAGATTCATGCCTCTACTGTAATGTGGTTTAACTAAAATTCCTGCCTCCACTCTTATGTGGTTTATCTAAGATTCCTGCCTCCATTCTACTGTGGTTTAACTAAGATTCCTGTCTCTACCCTACTGTGGTTTAACTAAGATTCCTGTCTCCACCCTACTGTGGTTTAACTAAGATTCATGCCTCCACCCTACTGTGGTTTAGCTAAGATTCCTGTCTCCACCCTTCTGTGGTTTAACTAAGATTCCTGTCTCCACCCTAGTGTGGTTTAACTAAGATTCCTGTCTCCATCCTACTGTGGTTTAACTAAGATTCCTGTCTCCACGCTACTGTGGTTTAACTAAGATTCCTGTCTCCATCCTACTGTGGTTTAACTAAGATTCCTGTCTCCACGCTACTGTGGTTTAACTAAGATTCCTGTCTCCACCCTACTGTGGTTTAACTAAGATTCCTGTCTCCACCCTACTGTGGTTTAACTAAGATTCCTGTCTCCACCCTACTGTGGTTTAACTAAGATTCCTGTCTCCACTCTAATGTAGCTTAACTAACATTCCTGCCTCCATTGTAATGTGATTTAACTATACTATTTAGCTTCTGCCTATCGGAGAGTAGGGAAGATAACGGTGGAATTAATTTGTGGTTCATACACTGTCCAGAATAATATTCTATTCCAAATCAACAAAATATTCCTGCTATCACCTCATATATACCTGTGATTTTTGAAGTAATTATTCTTTGCCAGGCGAAACTTCCAGATGCTGCACATATTGTCGGTATTGTATACCATTTATGTACAACTTGTGAGACACTGTAACATCATGGAATCTTGGTACAGAGAACATCTACAATACCTTCTTTCTTACTACTAATCCATTCCTTGGATATAACCTATTTCCGCTTGAGATTCCCGCCTGCCAGTGACAATACCTTCGTCAGCTGCACGTCCTACACCTGTCGACAGTATATAAGCACCAAGCTCCATGACTGTGCTGCAGTTCCTTCAAGACCACGGTGCTGTTCACCAACTCCAAGGCTGAAGGACTGATTTCCTCATCTTTTGTATAGAGTTCTTCATATTATGCCCTTGTATTGTATTTATAAAGTCACTGGCTGGCGAAAAGTCTACAAATTAAGATACCCAGATGTTGCACACTTGTTTACTTATTTACACACACACGAACCTACAAATACATGAATTGTGTTTCCTTTCAGCAGTGAGGAAAGGATGAAAATTATCCCGTTAGCTGAAAAGTTTGTGTTTGCTGCAATTGTTTGTGTGGAGTTTGTGCAAACGTCACAAGTGCTTGGTAGGTAAACAGTGTTTTCGTTAACTGAAACAGCGCTAACATTAACAATATAAAAATATTTCAGAATCTACATTAATTTAATATTCCAGGCTTTCTCATATTACATATTACTGACATTGAAAATCTACTAGTAAGTGTATAATTGATAAGTTATGATAACCTAGATAAACTGACAACAACAGCAAGGAAATTTATTTGTCATGATAAGATTTAATAATTGCACTGAAGCTTTCTTTTTAAATTTACTTAAGTAAAATTTTGCATCTAAGCAATTGTATATTTAATTATAGAAGTTTCATTATAATTTTGTAATTGATGATTAGGTACACTTTCACTCTTGTCAATCTTATTCTCATTCTTCAACTGTCTTCAAACTTTTATTAATTATTTTTAATGTTTTCTCATACTTGTTTTCTATTCTATCGCCCTTTCTAGACTTTACTTATTATTATCTTTCTTCTCAAAGGTTGTCAAAAATATTTCTTGTGAAAAAATAAATAGTTAAAAGAGATATTAGGCTCTGGGTTAACACTTACGACTACGTAAGGTCATCTTAACTATGTTAATCTTGCTAAATCATGTTGAATTATTCAGAAGAATCGTGCTTTAACAACCCCCGAAGCTTTTAACATTTGCATAGGTATGTTAGATGGTCAAATGCTTCGACTGGTGACTTTTAACTGCTCACTGCATAACTTGACCTTAGAATGGATCGCAATTTATGACTGTTGAAGGCGGACTAGTCTAATGAAATAGTATACGACAAAGTGGAATATATTAATAAAATTAATCATTTGTTTGATGAATATGAATCGTAAGTTCCTTTTATTATGTACTTTTTGGACAAGCAATTAAAGGTTCAGTTTAAGTCAACAGAAACGATAAACTAATTTTGTTAGTTACAATGGTTATAAATGACCATAATTTTTAAAGGGGTGGACCGGTAAGCCAGTGGAAGGCCTCGGTCAGATGACCAAAAGCTCCAAATGCGGGTCATCATCTGACTAAGACCCGCGTCAGGAAACATTTGTCCTGTTTCCTGACGAACCTTACCTAACCTAACCTAACTAATTTTGTTGTCTTGGTCAGCAACTCTCCCATAGTTACATTGGTTAGTTAAGAAATATAAACCAGGGAATTTAAGCAAGCCTAATCATTACCAGTATAGGGATGATTGCAAATAACCTTTTCAAATGTTTAACCTTTAACACTAGTGGTTGATAAATAACGTGAATCTTACGGAATAACTTCACCGGTTAGATTGAAGATAAATTTTACCTTGAAAAGTTTTAATGTAACAATGGTATTCACTAGTGTTCATGTCTCAGATTATTACCGATCCTTCAACATGAGAAGTAAAGGTTTTCGATGCCATACCCTGAGAGTATTATTCTTTAAATAATTACGCTCTGTATAGTTGATTGAAAAATTTGTCTTTGATGGGAAGTACCATGAATACAGCAAGACATGTTGATTAACAAACTTTATTCTCTAGATTTATACAATATTCCTATGAAATTCATGGAAACTAAAAATTTCAATGATATTCCACAAAGTTCTGCATTATGTGTAAGATATGTTGAAGTCTTTTCTCTTTGGCGGAATGACAAAAAAGTTGATGGTTTCTTACACAGACTTAATGTGTTGTCTGCCTTGATTAAGCTTCCACTTAACTTAAATGGATACACCAAACATCCAGAATTTTTTAATTCAAAAAGAATATAGGAAATTTGAACCGGCAGTTCACTGGAAAATCACTAAAGTAAATTTATATATTCATGATTATTCAGACCATGAAGAGAAGGTCAAGAGAAATATTTTTCTTACAATATTCCAGACTGTATTACATCTGCTTCTTTATACTTGAGTTCCTCGAAAAGGAAATAGGGAAGATTTTTTAAATTATTTATAGATTAAGATACCCTAAGGATTTTGATGAGAAGACACTACTAAGAGCAGAGAAAATCAACAGGACTTAACCAATTAAACAAAAGAAACAGCCTCATCAAGAAATATGCTTGTGTTATTCTGAAGTTCCTGGATCAACAGTTACCACACACTATACACTCCATCACTGGCGCGCTTACACTACATTTATAAAACTTCAACATTAACCCCTCCTTCAGAGTGCAGGCACTGTGTTCTCATCTCCAGGACTCAAGTTCGGCCTGCAGAATAGGTAAAACTGGTCAATTAGCAAGAACTCATTTAAAATTGTCCTTTCTAAAATTTTCTCTTGTACATTTAAAGATATATTTTTTCGTTTATGTTAATATAAAAATTGATGATTTTGTACCAAAAGGACCTTAGGAAACTTACCTAACCTTATAACAAGCGCAATTTAATTTAGCCTAATACAACTAAATATATTTTACATAAGTTTACAATAATTTAATAATAAACAAACACAATGAAATATGTCTTTTTCGTTATATTCAGAATGATATTTTGCGAAATTATTTCATACACAAATTTTCCCTTGCCGTATTCGGCAAAAAGCGCGTTGCTATTTAAGCCAAAATAGTAAGTTTTACTTGTTCAACACGACATATATAAACATGTCGGCCTTCTCCCACCGAGGCAGGGTGACCCAGAAAAGAAAGAAACACTCCCACCTTAATTAAACACTTTCACCATCATTCACACCTAATCACTGTCTTTGCAGAGGCGCTCAGATAGGACGGTTTAGATGTCCCTCCAAACAGCCAACATCCCAAGCCCCTCCTTTTAAGTGCAGGCACTGGAAGACCAACACAATGCAGACGTAGTATACACAGAATTTTCAAAAGCCTTTTGCTAGTGCGATTATGGTGTTTATTACACCATGAATACAAACAGTAATAGTAAACAGTAACGTCAGAGGCGGCTACATTGAAAAGCTCTGTTCCTCAAGGTACAGTACTCACTCCCATCCTTTTCCTCTTGCTTATATCTGACATAAACAGATGAAAGCCACAGCACCGTGTCTTCTTTTTCTGACGATACCATAATTTCCATGAGTGTCATCCACTGAGGACACTGTAGACCTCCAAGTGGACAAATTTCAATTATGCTGCTATGGAAAAGCCGAGGATATCAAAATTGGATCGAAATATAAAACAAATTATATCGACACACTAGATGTAAAACTAATGTGAAGGACCTTGGAATGAAAATGTCAAAGAATCTCACTATCCAAGATCACAACAATGTCTCTACCACATCTCCAAGGAAAATATTAGAATGGATAATGAGAACCTTTAAAACTAGGGATGCCAAACCAATGATGATTCTCTTCAGATCGTTTGTTCTCTCTAGGCTGGAGTGCATTAACGGCGCTTTTGGGGCAGGCGAAAATTAAGACCTGGAGAATATGCAGAGAACTTGCACTGCATGTAAAAGTGTAATCAAATACCTCATTTAATGGGAATGATTAAAGCCTCTTGACATGTACTTCCTGGAAAGCAAGCGAGAAAGATACATCATAATATACAATTGGAAAATCCTAGATATATAAATCTGCACACGAAAATCACTCCATACGAGAGCAAGAACTCGGCAGACGTTGCAACATCATCCGGCATACATAAGGTGGAATACTAATAGAACCCTGGCTGTCTTTAAGAGGGAACTGGACAGACACCTAAAATCAGTACCTGATCAGTCGGGTCGTGGTTCGTATGTCGGTTTGCGTGCAGCCAGTAGAAACGACCTAGTTGATCAAGCCCTGATCCACCGCAAGGCCTGTTCATGGACCCTGCCTCGCGGGGGTCAGATTCCTCTTACTCCAGGTAAAAGGAATCTGGGCTATAAAGTTATTAGGGGAGTGACGTGATTGAGAAGGGGTAAGCTCAAAGAGGACATTTTTTGTCATCAGAATATTTTGCAGTTGTGAAGGCTGGACTGACAACACAAGTGGTAAACACCGGAGTGGCAACCCAGATGATGGAGGCTGGCCTGACAAAATTGGGAGTGAAGGCTAAGCTCACGTCACAAGTCATGATAGCTGGGCTGACAACTCAGGTGGTGGAGGCTGTGCTGAGTTCAGCCTCACATGGCAGCTCCTCTGTTGCTTTGATCACTGATGGCACTGTCTCATCCTTCACTGTCGTCAAGGCAAGTGCTGAAGATTTTAATAAAAATAAGTATAATTATTTCAAATTATGATGATTATAATTTAAACAGAGGCAAATGTCTATTGCGGTGTGCACAGAATGTGTGTTAAGTTTATTTGGTAGGCATCATACGAGCATGAACTGCATTCTCTCTTTTATCATGGACCAGTAGTTATTGCTGTACAGTTGTCAGGGCCCCAGAGTCATACAGTGACTAGCTAGTTATAACTTTAACCAATCAGAGTAAGGAACTGGCCTCCAGATGACCTTAGTTGATACCTACATTCTGGTCTGGCGGACAGTCTCTCACTAGTTCTGGCTGATTACACTTACTGGTCTCTTTAGTTTGAGTTTATGAGCCGATGACAGTGAGCAAACTCATCTTTCCTCTCTTTCTTATTACAGTACTTACTAATGTGGTATTTGCCTACATTTACAGCGTTTACATCTCTGTAAATATTGGTGGTGGGAATATACATGAACATTTGTGTTTGTCTTTATAACTCCTTCAACATTCCTTTAAACATTCGTTTATAACTCCTTCAACATTCCTTTACTGGTGATTTGTCTTCAGGCCAAATAATACAGGTCTTCTAATTGTACTTGCGTTCGTAATATGAGCGCCAGTCGAAGGCCATTTTCTTGTTTTGGAAAAATGCTTTGTACTCTACTTGTCTTGTATACTTTCCTGATATAAGATGTGTCTTCTCCTTACACTATTGTTCTTGTTTTACTGTGTGTCGCTTGTTATTTTGTTTTGGTGCTGGTATGGTAATGTCACCGGTATACATCAAATGTTTGAACATTGCAGACTCTGCCGACTATTTCTATAGTGCAACTGGCGTATTTGTCGTCCTACCAACATTTACAGTCACCGCACTTTGGTTGTAGCACAGTTTTGTGAACCAGTTCATATTATGCTAAGAAGGAATGACCCATCAAACATAGTTCTCCACTTGGTGTATCTGCTGCACAGAGAACTTTTGCTAGTCTCCATTCCCAACTCCGTTTTCTTTCCCGTAATGGAAGTAATCACGCTCCGGAATGTTTGCCATATAATCCACCACTTGTGGGTAAACAGCAGTTGATCAGGTTTGGCTCAGCAACTATCTACATCGTTAGCATTCAAACTGGCAAAGCTTTTCTTCTATTAAGTAAGAATATGATAGGAAAAGGCGAGAAGACATTATCGTCGAACCTGTCATGAGTATTTTTAATGTTTAAAAATCTATATCGTTGTATCTTTGAATCAGATACAGAACAATTCATCGAATCGTCCTAAAATCAGTCTCGAGCTCTGCAGTGGCCAGTCAAACACTGGGCTTCACCATTTAAATGGGAAGACTCAGGAATTAACTTGGAGCATGTCATGAGAAGTTTACTAATTATGGCGTAGAGTAGGCTATGGTGCTCAGTGCTATTAATATATACCATCTAAGTATAGACGTGAGTTTCAGGACAATCTTGTGTGGATTTTGCTAGACAACAGTCCAAAATATAATTAGAGGTACAAACAGGAAGAGTGTCAAATTTCAGACATTTGGTACAGATGAATTTGTTGGATAACTTCATCAATTCTGTTAGTAACGATGTTCGTGTCTTATGAACCGCACCTTGTATTCTGTCTTGCAAAAATGGAAAATTGACTGATTGACCAATTTCTTCCCAACACTATTTTAGTGACAAAGGGCGCTGGGGAATAAGTTCTGACGGCGGGATGAAAAATGCGGCCATGGGTGAACCACAACTTCTCACTGAAGAACAGTCATAGGCAGGTACTAACAGAGACAAGATCGAAGAAGTTGTGACTATTTACAAACTTTTATCAATAAATTTTCTTCTGTAAGGTGAGTAGGATCGCTTGAAAGAAAAAGCAGTGCCATTAGTTAGTTTATTTGTATCATGGCGATACACTGTCCTTCGGATAGATGCAAATAAAACCCAGTTGTAACAGTGCTCTGCGATAATGGTGAAGTGTGCACCAAAAACGTTATTTTTATTCGGTGTTTATCACAACCATGTTTTACACTCCCTTTATAATCAACCTAAACCCAATAGTTATTGTCCTATAACAGTTGTGGCTCCACAGCTTTACTCTGAAGGTCTAGTAGTTATAAATATCAGTCAGTTGACCTGCAGACTACTTGGCTTTATACTTACACTGTTTTGGAGGACGGTCTTTTAATAGCTCTGGCTCATTACATTTACTTATCTCTTTAGAACGAGTTAATGAGCCAACAACAATAAACAAACTCACTATTTAATTTCAATATTATCTGTTTAATATCTTCCAATATTATTGCTCTCTTCCATAATGCAAATATTGTAAATATTGGTAGTGATAATATTTGGTCACTCAATCTTTAGCGTTTATCGAAATACCTATAAAAATTTGGTTTCCTAAATAATTTATCCAGTGAAATATGTTTCCAAACCCATGTTCATCTTAAACTGAACTTCAGATGTTTACAAAATGTATTATTAACTTCTCTCTGACCATATTTATTCTTACTAGTAATAAGCTGCGCCTTCCAGGATGAGTAGCATGATACAGTTTCAAACTAAATACTACGAGGAAGATTTGCGTATTTTGAGAAGACCTAACATATGAAAATATATTTTCAGATAACAAACAATATACGATTTGCAGGAGGAGCTGGGATTTTTGAAGCAATAACTAACTGTTCTGATTGTGAAAAAAAAGACTTTCATCTCTTATTAGTAGTAGAAAAAATTATGCAGGTACGTTGTTTACGTAACATATAGTGTGGAAATAATGTTCATATTCTGGAAGCACCAGGTAGGGAACTAGTGTACTTTATATAGTGTAACTCAAAATAAAGCAATATCAGGTGAGTAACACTAAATAACATTGAATCAGCTCAAATTACTGGTCAATAACAGATATTGCTGCTACACATCCCGTTTAAGATATAAGTAATTAATGACATTATAATTATTACATTTACAGCTGCAGCAAATATCATCGTACATGACAGTGGTTGTGATGAGTGACGACTCAGCCTTCTTAGCTGCCTTCGTTGAATTGTCCCTCAAGCTGCACATACTTGTGTGGTCAACAAGGTTGCTGATCGTAACTCGTTCTCACATTAAGGAGCTGCAGGATCACCAAGCAATTCTATCTAAGACGAATTCTGTATTAGTTGTTATCAACGAAGACACAGCAAATGCCAGGTGATAAACATTTCTCTCTCTTTTTTTTTTTTTACGAAAATTTGGATTACGAGAAGCTATCAAAAATTTCCCGGTGTCGAATTTTCACGCTCTTCCTGGGTGAAATATGGCGACAGCATAAATTATGCTGAGCAGTAACACTATGTTAAGCAGCATAGCGAGCTTCAATGCAGTCGGCCATTCCGTTGAAGCAAGTCAGGCATTTCTTCTCATGTCATTGGGCTGTTGCGATTTTTAGTACAACAGAATGGAAATAAAAAAGAAAGAAGAGGCACATGTGAAATTCTATTTTAACCTCGGTAAAACGCTTAGCGAAACTTGAAAAATACTTCGGTATGCGTTTGGCGAAGAAACAGCTGATCAGACACAGTAATCTGAATGCTTTTGTCCATTAAAGCAGGAAGAATTTAAGCTGAGTATGATGAACGATATGGTCGTCCATCAACATCAAAAACAGACAACATTGAAAGAGTAAGGAAAGCTCTTCATATATATCGTCGTCAGAGTAACCAGAATTTCTTATAGGTCACGTTAAAGCATTTTGACTGGAAATTTGAACCTGGGGCAAGTAGCTGCGAAATTTGTGCCCTGTTTGCTGCCTCATGACCAGGAAATACATCTTTTTCTGTCCAAAAATAACATACTCTCCAGATCAAGCCCGGTGTGATTTCGTTGTCTTATCAAAACTTAAAATTAAAATGACACTAAAGGGTGGCGTTTTAACGACCTGGAGGAGAATCAATCAGGATTGAAGGTCCTGGTAAACGCCGTTAGAAGAGTTCTAAAAATGCTTTGAAAGGTAGCACAGGCGCTGGGATGTGTGTATAGTCTCCCAAGGAGAGTACTTCGATAGAGACAATTTCAAATATGCGTTTAGGTAAGCCTATACATTTTCTTACGTGGTAGTGCAGGATAGCACCTCGTACGTATAATAGAAGTACTATTTTTCAGACACTTTCTGATGTGCAAGTTAGAACACCACAACTACGCAGGTAGTTAAACAGATGCCCACACGTGCGAACATGCACACACACACACACACACACACACACACACACACACACACACACACAAACATTCATACACATACGCACACACATGCAAAAACTTGCACATACACACACACACACACACACACACACACACACACACACACACACACACACACACACAGTCACACACACAGACTCATTGCGTTTGCTACTAACTACACTCTTCAATAAATCTATTGAAACAGGGAAACTGCCAGAGGTGTGGAAGACACAAATGTAGTCCCGATTTTTAAGAAAGGAGACAGACAGGCTGCACTAAATTACAGACCAGTGTTGCTAACATGTATTGTATGTAAAGGTATGCAGAAGATTACCAGGAAAAGAGCACCTTGAATGTAATGAACTCATACATGACCACCAGCAAGGCATCGGGGAAGGAAAATCCTGCATCACGAACCTGTTGGATTTCTATGACAAGGTAACACAAGTAAGACAGGAGAGAGAGAGAGAGAGAGGGATGGGTAGACTACATCTTCTTAGACTGTAAGAAGGCCTTCTATACAGTACCACGCAAGAGACTGGTTGAGAAACTAGAGGAGCAATTAGGAATAGGAGGGAAATTACTGCAATGGAATACCTGACAGGAAGGAAACATCGTGTGTCCGTCCGAGACGAGGTGTCAGAGTGTGTGCATGTGTCGAGTGGAGTTCCACAACGGTCAGTCCTAAATCCGGTGACGTTTCTTGTGAATGTGAATGATATGACGGAAGGGATAGTTAGTGTCCGTTTGCAGACGATGTGAAACTAATGAGTAGAATACAGACGGAAAAGAATAAGGTAAGCCTAAAAGGGGATCTGGACACTCTGCAAACCTGGTATGACAAATGACTTCTCGAGTATAACCCCCAGCAAGTGGAAAGATGCACATGAATGGTATACAATTCCGACAAGCTGAAAAATTTAGACACATGTGCAACATTTGAGTATCTTTACTGTAGACGTTTCGCCAACCAGTGGCTTTATCAATACAAATTTTAGGACATGATTAGAAGACAGTAGAACTATATACAAAAGATGAGGTAGTCAGTCCCTCAGCCTTGAAGTTGGTGTTAAGAGCACAGTGGTCATGAAGATTCTGGTTGGCGAAACGTCTACAATAAAGATACTCAGATGTTACACATGTGACTAAATTTTTCAACTTGTCGGTATTGTATACCGTTCACGTACAACTTGTCAGACACTGCAACATCATGGAATCTTGGCTCAGAGGACATGCACATTACCTCTTCACAGCTGCAACTACTACTTCGACTACTACTGCTGCAACGATTACTACAATTACTACCACCACTAACCCGTGACTCGGGGTTGACCTACTTCTACTGGGGATTCCCGCCCACCAGTGACTATGCCCTCCATCTTCCGCCAGTATAAAAGCAGCAGCCTTCTTGCCTGTGGTCCAGAATCTTCACGACCACGGTGCTCTTAACACCAACTTCAAGGCTGAGTTTCTGATTACCTCATATTTTGTATATAGTTCTACTGTCTTCTAATCATGTCCTAGAATTTGTATTGATGAAAGTTAAGACACTTGTGCAACATCTGGTTATTGATGAAGTCACTGGATGGCGAAACGTCTACAATAAGATAACCAGATGTTGCACAAGTGTCTTAACTTTCATCTTGTCCGTATTGTATACCTATCTTGCACAATTTGTATTGATAAAGCTACTAGATGGCGAAACGTCTACAATAAAGATACCCAGATGTTGCACATGTGTCTAAATTTTTCAAGTGCAAAGTTGTGAAGATTGGGGAGGAATAAAGGAGACCTCAGACGGAGTACAGTTTAAGAGGTCAAAGGCTGCAAAACTCACCAAAGGAAAAGGATCTTGGGGCAAGCATCATGCCGAGCACATCTCCTGAGGCGCACATCAACGAAAAAAACTGCTGCAGCATACGGGTACCTGGCAAACTTAAGAATAACTTTTCGACATCTAAGTAAGGAGCCATTCACGACTCTGTACACCGTGTACGTGAAGCCCATATTGGAGTTTACGCCACTAGTCTGGAACCCACACATGGTCAAACTCGTCAAGAAATTAGAGAAAGTGGAAAGGATTGCAACAAGGCTAGTCCCGGAACTGAGGGGTTTGTCCTTCGAGGAGATGTAAAGGAAGCTAAACCTGACAACACTGGAAGGCAGGAGGGATAGGGGGACATAATAACAACACATAAAATGCTGAGACGAATTGACAGGGTGGATAGGGACAGAAAGTTTCAGAGATGCGACTCAGCAACAACGGGTCACAACTGGAAGCTGAAAACTCAGATGAGTTACAGGAATGTTAGGAACTATTTCTTCAACCATAGAGTTGTCAGGAATTGGAACAATCTGGAGAGTGATGTAGTGGAGGAAGGAGCCATACATAGCTTTAAGAAGAGGTATAATAAAGCACATGGAGCAGGGATAGAGTAGACTTACAAGTGACCAGTGAACATGCGGTGCCAGGAGCTATGACTCGACCTCTGCAACCACAATTAGGTGAATAATTAGGTGAGTACGCAGGAGAGGAATGGGTAGACTGCATTTTCGTAGACTGTAAGAAGCCTTTTACAAAGTACAGCCTAAGAGGCTGGTATCGAAGCTAGAGGAGCTGGCAGAAATAACAAGAAAACCACTGCATTGGACAAGAGAATATCTGATGTGAAGGAAACAAAGAGTGACAAGGTATCGGAGTGGGTGCATGTGTCGAGTGGGCTTCCACAAGGGTCAATCCTAGGGCAGAGTGCAGGTACTATACTTCCCACCACCACCCCTCCTCCAGAGTGCAGGTACTATACTTTCCACCACTACCCGTCCTTCAGAATGCAAACCCTGTATTTCCCACCTACAGGACTCACGTCCGGTTAACCGGTTTCCCCTGAATCCCTTAAAAATGTTACTTTGCTCACACTCCAACAGCACGTCAAATCATAAAAACCACTTACCTCCACTAATATCTAATTCACTCAGACACGCTTGTAGGACGTCCAAGCCCCTTGAAAAAAAAAAAAAAAAAAAAAAAAAGAGAATCTTTTCCTAAATTTACACATCATCCAAGTCATCATATTTTGCTCCATACTCTCAAAATATCCAAACCGATTCAACAACCCTTCTGTAGACCTCTGGATAATAATTTTAGTAACTCCACACCTCCTCCTAATCTCCAAATTACGAATTCTCTGCATAATATTCACATCACACATTGGCCTCAGCAGTGCATACCTTATGTATGGTTGATATGGTACGTGCCTTGGGCGCCACTTGAAGGGGGGCCATCTTCGGATAGTGAAAAAGAATTTTCTTAAGATATATAATCTGTCTTTGATTATCGTGGGTGAGAAGCATTATGTTGACTAGATTGTTAAACCACTTATATAAACTATTAGGTGAAAATACAGTGTTGGGAGCTACATGACGACAGACCTCACAGTACCAGTGCTAAGTGCCAACTGGCGCTGAGCAAACTTGGGAGGTAGTCTATAATTTTGTGCAAAATCATGGCAACTTAAGAAGGAAAGTGGAGCTGATGAACGGAAGAGACAGAAGCTGTAGGCGGAGGAAGCCAAGAAGCCAAGTAAGTTCTTCATGCACTTCTTTGAAATGTCCATAACAAGTTGTTCCATACGTTCCATGGAGTCGCCTGCACCTGTACAAGTCTGTTAGAATGTGAAGGTGGATCAAACCGAGGAGGAAGTAAGTTAGATAAATCCGAGTGTGACAAGATTAATGAGGCAGCCAGAGAGAACGTGGATATGACAGTAGGGGAAGACGATGGTGGTGGTGGTGATGTCGAGTTTATTGACGAGATTGAAACTGACGACACTAAACCTGGTGAACTGGATGGTGTCGAAGAGCCTCAAACTGTCACACCATTAGTGATTGAACAGCATGACACTGGACTTCAGAAGTTCGACAAGGATACTGGAAAAGCGTTCTGCCTGACGCATTGAGAACAGAAATAATAAAGGTGAGTTTGAAGTATTTCCTGAACAGCGAGGAGGCATTTCCTACCAATAAATAACCACACAATGCACAAAACTTGGTTCAAGAGGAAATTTGGAAGTGGTCGTGGTGAGGAAGTGACTCGCTCATGGCTGGTCTATTCCTCCTCTAAAAAGTGTACATTTTGTATCTATTGTCTTCTCTTTTCCCGGCCAGATCATCAATCTTCATTGGAGCAGGACAGTGGATTTAATCAGTGGAAAGCACCTGAAAGGATTGATGTTTATGACAATTCTAAGAATCATTGGGAGTGCTTCACACTGTGGAAAAAAAAAACTGATGGAAATTTAGGTGAAAACTGGGAAGTTATTGACTCGGAACTTCAATCACAGACTGAGAAGGAAAAGCAGAAGTGGCGTGATATCTTGACGTGAATCCTTCACTGCATAAAATTCCTTGCGACTCAGAACCTGGCAATGTTGGTACACAGGGAGTCACTTCAGTTGGACGATGACTCCACTGTGGGAAATTTCCTCGGCTTACTGAAACTACTGGCCATATTTGACCCTGCGGGCAGATGTCAGAAGTAGTATGGTACGTGCAAGCTGATTTTGAGAGAAAAACAGTCCGTGTTAGCGAGTCCTTCTTTGCTTTTATCCAGATAACCCAGAAGGATGCTGAGAGCTTGGTTGAAGACATTTTGAAACAGCTAGAGAAGGACGAATTGGAGTTACAAGATTGTCAGTCACAGTTCTGATGGCTGGACACAGAAGTGGTGTTGATCAAAGAATAAGTGAGAAAAACAACCCGGCAGTGAAATGCGACAATCACTCACTCATCTTGGTGAGTGTACATGCAGCCAAGCAGGACACAGTGATGGTCACGTTTTTCAGAGCCATCGAAACTCTCTACATGTTCTTCTCTCGTTCAACGCAGTGCTGGGTAACACTCAAAAACGCTGTTCCTGTGGATATTCAGTCGGAGTCCGAAATCAGGTGGAGTACAAGTACAGAAGCAGTGAAGCCCCTCAACAAGTACCTTGAAGAGATACTTCAAGTTCTCGAGGACATGATAGACAATGAAACCGAGACCAATTAAACAAAAAGTGACGCATTTTCAAACTTTGCGAAGGAGTATTTTGGAACAAAGTACTCATTCGCATTCGCCGACAGTAACAACCTAGAGAAATATGAAAATTTGTGAGAAATGTACAGCTGTAATGTTGATGGACACTAGCTATATAAAGAAATTTTGGATCGCAGAATACTGATATGAAGTCGGGCATCATGAAAATATTAAGACCTAAAGAGCTCAAATTTATTGTTCAGTATGGAGACGAGAGAGTCTTCGCCAGTCTTCGCAATGCTATTCAGATAATGTTCACCATCGCAGTTTCCATCGTCAGCTGTGAGAGATCATTCAGCAGGTTAAAACAAATACTATCGTATTTGAGAGCCTCCATGGGTCAAGGCAGACTCAGTGATCTTGCTCTGCTGAGCGTAGAAAGAGAAAAAAACTAAATTTGAAAAGCAAGGAAGGGGCAGTTGTAATTTTCATGTAGTGCCATAATCTGTTATTTAAATGATTAACGAGCTTGACTTGTATTTCTTGGCTGATTTTAAGGTAAAGTGTGTTGACAAGAATAAAAAAATCGAAACTTGTATCAGTACTGTTTCTTGTGTATGGCAAAGAAAATTGAATGAGAAGTGTCCTCTGTGAAACTTAAGATAATACAAGCAAAAGAAGACCAGGAAAGACTAAAAATAGATCCAGACTAGCTATTAGAATTATCTCCAGCAAATGCAAAGTTATCAAAATCAGGAAGAGCAAAGACGAACAGAACATTGGTTAAAAAACTCCCTGAAAGAGAACCTTGGGGTGAACATAGGGCCAACCACTTTGCATGAGGCACAAATAAAAGCAAAGCTGGCAAATTTAAGGGCATTTTACTAGACCTACAATTTGGAGGCATTCAGCACCGTAAACACTGCATATATCAGTCCCATCTTGGAGTGCGCACAGTAGTGTACTTTTAGTCTGTCTGAAGGATGGCAGAGCAAGGAATAGGTATTTATCCTGAGCGAAGAGCCGACTAGAATTTTTCCAACACTTCGCCAGGTGAAATTTCAGTTTCCCAAGAGATTATCTTCACTCCATTTCCTCGTATCAAGATTACATCTCTAATTCCTTGGAACAAGATTTCTCTCCGATTTATATTCATAAATCCGATTTTTTAACATTTTCTTAGAATAAATATGTACATTCTCTGGAAAATGTACAAAGGAGGATGACAAAGTTGATCCCATGTATCAGAAACCTTCCCTATGAGGATAGACTAAGGGCCCTGAATCTGCACTCTCTAGAAAGACGTAGAATTAGGGGGGATATGATTGAGGTGTATAAATGGAAGACAGGAATAAATAAAGGGGATGTAAATAGTGTGCTGAAAATATCTAGCCTAGACAGGACTCGCAGCAATGGTTTTAAGTTGGAAAAATTCAGATTCAGGAAGGATATAGGAAAGTACTGGTTTGGTAATAGAGTTGTGGATGAGTGGAACAAACTCCCGAGTACAGTGATAGAGGCCAGAACGTTGTGTAGCTTTAAAAATAGGTTGGATAAATACATGAGTGGATGTGGGTGGGTGTGAGTTGGACCTGATAGCTTGTGCTACCAGGTCGGTTGCCGTGTTCCTCCCTTAAGTCAATGTGACCTGACCTGACTAGGTTGGGTGCATTGGCTTAAGCCGGTAGGAGACTTGGACCTGCCTCGCATGGGCCAGTAGGCCTTCTGCAGTGTTCCTTCGTTCTTATGTTCTTATGTTCTTATATGTTAGCGTAATGTAGGAGATTTTGTCCATAGAGTTTCATACAATTCTTAAATCTATTCTAGACTGTAATCCATTCATACATAAGGTTTATTTTTACCAGTTCAATGAAGTGTATCTCTCATGGTGTAATTAACGCATTCTACCATAGGTATATATTGCAAGATCTGACCACGGATGTGGATCTTAAGGTGCAGCTCCTGGCCCCCTCTGGTATGCAGGTATTCTTGAGATGTGTGGAGGTAAACATATTTAAACACAGGTAAGCTTTATTGTCGATGTGTTCAGTCCATCAATCTTCTATTCAAGATTGATGGACTGAACACATCGACTCAAGGTTGAGGGACTGATTACCTCATTCTCCTCCTGTTCTTCAAGGTTCTCCTACGTATGGACTGATGAAGCCACTGTGTGGCGAAACGTTTCCTCAATAAAGATACCCAAGAGTTGCACATGTGTCTAATTTATCAACATGTCGGTTCTCTGAACCATTCATCTACACTTACTTACGTTTATACAGAAATGAGTACAATACAATGACATTGTAAGATATACAAGTTTTAGTCTTCATTATTAGGTATGTACAATGTTACACAACTTTTGACATTTTTATATCATAGTGAATATTATCCTGGGGTGAATATTATCCTGGGGTGAATATTATCCTGGGGTGAATATTATCTTGGGGTGAATATTATCCTGGGGTGAATATTATCCTGGGGTGAATATTATCCTGGGGTGAATATTATCCTGGGGTGAATATTATCCTGGGGTGAATATTATACTGGGGTGAATATTATCTTGGGGTGAATATTATCCTGGGGTGAATATTATCCTGGGGTGAATATTATCCTGGGGTGAATATTATCCTGGGGTGAATATTATCCTGGGGTGAATATTATCCTGGGATGAATATTATCCTGGGGTGAATATTATCCTGGGGTGAATATTATCCTGGGGTGAATATTATCCTGGGGTGAATATTATCTTGGGGTGAATATTATCCTGGGGTGAATATTATCCTGGGGTGAATATTATCCTGGGGTGAATATTATCCTAGGGTGAATATTATCCTGGGGTGAATATTATCCTGGGGTGAATATTATCCTGGGGTAAATATTATCCTGGGGTGAATATTATCTTGGGGTGAATATTATCCTGGGGTGAATATTATCCTGGGGTGAATATTATCCTGGGGTGAATATTATCCTGGGGTGAATATTATCCTGGGGTGAATATTATCCTGGGGTGAATATTATCCTGGGGTGAATATTATCTTGGGGTGAATATTATCCTGGGGTGAATATTATCCTGGGGTGAATATTATCCTGGGTGAATATTATCCTGGGGTGAATATTATCCTGGGGTGAATATTATCCTAGGGTGAATATTATCCTGGGGTGAATATTATCCTGGGGTGAATATTATCTTGGGGTGAATATTATCCTGGGGTGAATATTATCTTGGGGTGAATATTATCCTGGGGTGAATATTATCCTGGGGTGAATATTATCCTGGGGTGAATATTATCTTGGGGTGAATATTATCCTGGGGTGAATATTATCTTGGGGTGAATATTATCTTGGGGTGAATATTATCCTGGGGTGAATATTATCCTGGGGTGAATATTATCCTGGGTGAATATTATCTTGGGGTGAATATTATCTTGGGGTGAATATTATCCTGGGGTGAATATTATCCTGGGGTGAATATTATCCTGGGGTGAATATTATCCTGGGGTGAATATTATCCTAAGGTAAATATTATCCTAAGGTGAATATTATCCTGGGGTGAATATTATCCTGGGGTGAATATTATCCTGGGGTGAATATTATCCTGGGGTGAATATTATCCTGGGGTGAATATTATCCTGGGATGAATATTATCCTGGGGTGAATATTATCCTGGGGTGAATATTATCCTGGGGTGAATATTATCCTGGGGTGAATATTATCCTGGGGTAAAATCAGGGTGACTATATCCTCGGTAAGAACTGGTATCTAGGAGGTATCTTCTATCATCAAAAGGAGAAAAATCTTCTTTTTAATCTTAAATGTAAACATATCCCCCTTCACATTACTAATTGTTTTACACTTAACATGCATATTCAATCTAATATTAAAAAATCGGATTTATGAATATCAGTATGAGGGAAATCTTGTTCCAATGAATCAGAGATGCAATCTTTATACAAGAAAATGGAGTGAAGATAAATTCTTGGGGAAACTATAATTTCACCCTCTGTAGTCTTGGGAAAATTCTAGTCAACAGAAACAGCTCTGCGAGTTCCTCACTCAAGTAAAATGCTTGTTCCTTGTTCTGCCATGCTTATGTCAGATTAAAAGTTCACTACTGTGCAGCGCCAATATGGAGCATGTATTGGAAGAAGAATGTGAAGATGAAAAATATAAAAGGATCTCCAACGAAACAAATACCAGAAGGACCAGAGGTGATATGATTACGACAAACAAAAATAATTAGAGGAATTTAACAGAGTAGACAGAACAAGTGTGTTTGTGAGGCTGATCTCAGATACATGAGAGCACAACTGGATGTTAAGAAATATGTGAATTACAGGGAGGTTACGTATTACTTCTTTATCCTCAGAGCAGTCAAGACGTGGAATGACCTAGTGAATTTATTGAGGTGGAATCCATACATCGGTTTAAGAAAAGGTATAATAGGGTTCACTCAGCCCGAAGTGAACCCAGAAGGTGCTAGCGGGGAATTGGGGCCAAGAGCTGAGCCTCTACATAAGCAACCACACTGAGGTTATCACATGAATCTCTTCTTGCTGTCATCTATGCACTACACAGATCTACTTCAATATGTTCTATTACAGGTGCAGTGTGTACGTGTATCTTCCATACAGTCCCCGGGGAGTGAAGCCCCTGCAAGTGGCCTCTTGGACCCCTCACCGAGGTCTTGTTTTCACATCCAGTCTCCCGCTCTTCCCAGACAAGTTCTCCAAGTGAGTATCAAAATAGTTTAATGCACACTATACTCCACATAATGCAGCATAACATACACACACACATACACACACATACATCTACATACAGGGGCAGACACACGCAGACGTGGGGTCACAAGGCTCCGAGAACCTTAGTGCTTTTAAGGCGTAATTAGCTGCTAGCAGTAACCAGTGGTAGTGACAACGTCATTGAACAACCCTACAAGTGATAAGCAAAGTTATTAGTTAAAAAAAGATGAGAGGAAGCCTGAAAACATTCAACAAAACTTCAAAGTGCCAAATCGTTAGGGGCCTAGTAGGCACCTGTTGCCACACAGTTACAAATATACAAAGACCAAAGCGAGTGTGAAAGTAGGTGTTCAAGAATTACGAGAGGTTGGTTAACAAGTGAAATGTGGGGCAGCATACAGTGAGAGTGAAAAAGTTAATAAGTAAAGGGAGAAAAGAAAAAAATATATAACTAGGGAAGGTGGCAGGAGTAGACCTTCTTGAAGCGGTGACGTCGTAACAGGTTGTGTGCCATTATAAATAAAAAGTGTAGTTCACCAAATGTGAAGTGTACTCTACCAAAAGTGAAAAGTGAAAACACTTGAGGAACGCGGGATGTACGAGCATAAATGGTTATAACTATGACGGGTGAAGGATTTTCAAAATAGTGTTACAAGGCCTACATGTACGACAACAATGACACCAGCAACTGGCAACTTGTCATCGCCCCACTGCCACACCGCAAGTCCTTCTCACTTATTGTGGTTGCATGTTGTCAGATCATGGTCTCTGCACACTGTTAGATACTGGTCACTCACTCCTGCAAGCTATTACCGGAATTAGGGTAGAGACAGCATAGATAAGGTGGAGATAGGTTTGATGAGGGCGTGAGGAAAGGGAGGTGCGTAGCTAGCAAGGGGTAACCATCAGACACACACACACACACACACACACACACAAGTGTAGACACTTGTAGAAGTTGAGAGAGGCTAAGTTTTAGAATTACTAGTATTACTATTGGTATTTTATTAGTAGTATGGATAAGTTTTAGAATTACTATTGGCAAGTTTTAGAATTACTAGTATTACAATTGGTATTTTATTAGTGGTATGGATAAGTGTTAGAATTACTATTGGTATTTTATTAGTAGTATGGATACTTAGAAGTGAGGAGCATTATTTCTGGGCACACACACATATACATACACACACACAGCTGTGTAAACGGTCCCCTCACAACCGTTCACCCCCCAACCTACCCACCCACTAGACGTCCTGTCCCACTCTCCATCACTTTGTCCCCCCATCTAACCATCTCTCCCCCCTCATAACTCCCCCACATACACGAACACACACCTACACACATACAACACCTCTCTCTCTCATCCTCACCTTCCATCCATCATCCCTCTCTCTCACCCCCTCTTTCTCCCTCTCTCTCCCTCTCTCACCCTCTCTCTCTCTCTCTCTCTCCCTCTCTCTCTCTCTCTCTCATCCTCACCAGCCATCTATCTTCCCTCTCTCTCTCACTCTCTCTCTCTCTCTCTCTCTCTCTCTCTCTCTCTCTCTCTCTCTCTCTCTCTCTCTCTCTCTCTCTCTCTCTCTCTCTTTCTGTCTCTCTCTCTCTCTCTCTCTCTCTCTCATCCCCATCTTCCACCACCTTCCTTCTCTCCAGTCTCTTCCTTCCCCTCTCTATACCCCTAGCCTCTCCCACACTTCGTTTCTCCTTCCTCCCTATACCCTCTTGTAACCCCTAAAACTCTCCTTGATGCTGCCCCCCCTCCCACCCTATTTCCTTCTCCCCCCTGCCCTACCTCCCTACCCCTACCCCTACTTGCAACACCCATCCTCACAGAAACTTCGTTCTGTGGTACAATGGGGCCAAAAATAAGGCAGACAGCTGGGAAGGATGATTGGGAAGCAGAGCTCAAGAAAAGGGAAGACTGAGAAAGGAAGCTAGAAGAGCTTGGAAGGAGCATAGAGGAGATGGTAGCTGCAGAGAGAAAAAGGCGAGAGCAACATGCAGAAGCCAAGATACAGCACTTAGAAGAGGAACTGAGCAATCTGAAACAGCCTAAAGAAAGAAATAACAGTACAGACATAACATCAGGAACTTCTACATCAGACACAGACATGGGGACTGGAGGGAGCAAGGAAGCTATACTGTATGCAAAGGTCCAGTCAGACCCACAAGGGGCCAAGGCAATGACAAGAAGCACACTAGGAACAAATGAGAGGTTGGGAGACATTGAAGGAGCTAGGATATATGCAGGGACTCTACAAGACTCCTGCAGGAGCCAGGAACAGCTGAGCAGAAAAGACAGACCAATGAGCAATGTGGCCTCAGCTAGGGAAAGGACTGAAGGAAGGAACACTCCAAGGGAAGGAACTAAAACACATCAGAGGACGCAATGGGAAACACAGTGGGAGGAAGAAAGGGAGAGATCAGTTTTTGCCTATGGGCTCCAGGAAGCTGACGGGAAAACCTACGAGGAAAGAAAACATGAGGAGATAAAAGCAATTGAAGGTATCATGAAGGCAATAGGCGAGGGCAACATGACCCAGGTGGCAAATTTTCGGAGAATTGGGTGGTTTGCAAGGAGAGGGAAGCGGCCTCTCAAAGTAATTTTCAAGGCAGAATCAACTCGAACCAGGATCCTGCAGGAGAAAGCACAGCTGAGAGGCAAACTGGAATTTCAGAGTGTGTGCCTCGACCGAGACAGAACGCAAGAGGAAAGGAGGATACTGAAAGAGAGAGTGCAAAAACGAAAGGAGGATTGGGAGGAAGGGACAAAGAGAAACAGAATAACCCAGACACAGGTGGAAGGGCAAGCACACCCCCAGAAGCACCCGCAGAAGGACTCCAACCACGACAACCCCAAGACAACTGAACAATCTAAGCCAACAATCATACACTGATCCCTCTGTCCCCACCCCCACACCACAAACCCCAACCCTACAGCAACCCAATATGGGAAATCTATCCCCATCACAACCCCCCATAGGCCCCCACCAGGGCTCCTGCTCTCCCAACCCCAATATCCTCCCAAGACCACAGTTTTGGAACAGAAGCCGAAGGCTTGGTACAAGAATGCGGACGGAATAACGAAGAAATATGAGGAATGGCATGAAAGAATCAATAAGAAGTCCCCAGACATCATAGAAGTCACAGAAATGAAACTCACTAAGACAATAACAGATGCAATCTTCCCACCAGGATATCAGATCCTGAGGAAAGACAGAAGGAGCAGAGGGGGAGGAGGGGTTGCACTGCTCGTAAAACACCAATGGAAATTTGAGGAAATGGGAGACATTGACGAGATTGGAGAAAGAGAATACATAGTAGGTACACTTCATTCTGGGGAGAACAAAGTAGTCATTGCAGTGATATATAATCCACCACAGAACTGCAGGAGGCCAAGAGACGAATATGAAGAGAGTAACAGAGCAATTGTGGATGCACTGGCTGAGGTGGCAAGAAGAGCTCACTCGAGCAGAGCAAAGTTACTGGTTATGGGTGATTTCAATCACAGGGAGATTGATTGGGAAAACCTGGAACCACACGGGGATCCCAAAACATGGAGATCCAAGATGATGGATGTGGTACTGGAGAACCTCATACATTAACATGTTAAGGATACTACCAGAGAGAGAGGGGAGGATGAACCAGCAAGACTGGACCTTGTGTTCACCCTGAGCAGTTCAGGCATTGAGGATGTCACATATGAGAGGCCCCTAGGAGCTAGTGACCAAGTGGTTCTGTGCTTTGAATACATAGTAGAGTTACAAGTGGAGAGAGTAACAGGAGTTGAATGGGAAAAGCCAGACTGTAAACGGGGGCACTACTTAGATTTGAGGAACTTCCTGCAAGAGGTTCAGTGGGACAGAGAACTGATAGGAAAGTCGGTATATGAAATGATGGATTACGTAACAACAAAATGTAAGGAAGTAGATGGAAGGTTTATTCCCAAGGAAAACAGAAATAATGGGAAGACCAGAACGAGCCCCTGGTTTACTCAACGGTGTAAGGAGGCAAAAACCAAGTGCAATAGAGAATGGAAGAGGTACAGAAGGAGAACACAGGAAACTAAGGAGATTAGTCGAAGAGCCAGGAACGAGTATGCACAGGTAAGGAGGGAGGCCCAGCAACTGTATGAAAATAACATAGCATCGAAAGTCAAGTCTGACCCGAAACTGCTGTACTGCCACATCAGGAGGAAGACAACAGTCAAAGACCAGGTGACCAGGCTGAGGAAAGAAGGTGGGGAACTCGCAAGTAACGATCACGAGGTATGCGACGAGCTCAACATGAGATTTAAGGAAGTATTTACAGTAGAGACAGGAATGGCTCCGAGAAGACAGCACAGAGGGGAACACCAACAGGGAACATACCAACAGGTGCTGGATGACATACAAACAACGAAGGAGGAGGTGCAGAAGCTGCTAAGTGACCTCGACACCTTAAAGATGAGGGGTCTGGACAACATCTCCCCGTGGGTCCTTAGAGAAGGAGCAGAGATGCTCTGCTCTCAACATGAGATTTAAGGAAGTATTTACAGTAGAGACAGGAATGGCTCCGAGAAGACAGCACAGAGGGGAACACCAACAGGGAACATACCAACAGGTGCTGGATGACATACAAACAACAAGGGGAGGTGCAGAAGCTGCTAAGTGACCTCGACACCTTAAAGAAGAGGGGTCTGGACAACATCTCCCCGTGGGTCCTTAGAGAAGGAGCAGAGATGTTTGCGTGCCACTAACCACACTCTTAAATTACATCCCTTGAAACTGGGCAACTACCTGAGGTGGGTATTAACCTTGGTAACAAATACCGACAAGTTGGTTTAAAAAGACACGTAAGCAAACACTATGACTTTATTTATTAGAAAACGTTTCGGTCCTGGGACCTTGATCACTTCTAATAATATGTCTAGTGTTTGCTTACGTGTCTTTCTAAACCAATACCTGAGGTATGGAAGATGTCAAATGTAGTCCCATTTTAAAGAAAGG